GCCGTGTGTCCCCCGCCCCAGTACCTCAAGGATCTGGTTGAACTGGGCTTTCAGCTCGAAATAAGGCTTGCTCTTAACGATGACACGCTTGAGGGACTTCTGGAGGGCTTGGACCTTGGCCTCGGCTTGCTGACACAACTGGGTCACGCGTTGGTGCTCCCGCTCGCTCCGCAACCTCTCTTCCTCCGCCTCGTTGACCTGGGGACACCCCAAAAACCCCTTCAGAAGCGGGATCCCCCATCCCCAACCTCCAGCCGCCTTCTTCCAGGCCCCATTCCCACCTTCCCTAGGGATGAAGACCACCTCCCTCCCCGAACCCGTACTTTGCAAGTAGCGTGGTTGAGCATCTCCTGCCAGGTGGGATCCAACCGGTTCTTGTCGGCCATGACCCCCTGCTCGGCCACGAAGACCATCTCGCGCGCGGCGTTGTGCATGCTGACGGCTCGCTCGTACCGCAACGCCGCTTTCTGCGTCTCCTGCTGAGCCTGCGCGGCGAGGGGGTTACAACATCAGGGAGGGAAGAGAAAGACACCCCCCACCCATTCTTTTGCACCCCTGGGTGATGGCGGTACCTCCTTGGCGAGGCGCCGAGCTTCGTAGTAGGGTCGAGCTTTCTCGATGCAGTTGCCCAACTGGGAACCTTGAGCGTTGAGCTTCCTCGCCGATTCGGAAAGGATCCGACGATAGGCGGTGCGGGCTTCCTGGAGGTGAGGAGCGAGGAACATCTCATCGCCGTGTCCTCCTGTCCCTCATCGCCCCCAGGGAGATCCCTCAGCAGCGGGTTTTCCCACCCAACCAGCCCACCGAGTCCAAAATCCAACAGGGATCAGCATGAAGGCGACCAGTTAAGGACTGGGGGACCAGTTAAGGACCGGGGGACCCAGTTAAGGACCGGGGGACCCAGTTAAGGACCGGGAACAAAGGCTGGGGGACCCAGTTAATGACCAGTGAGACCCGTTAAGGACCAGGGAGACCCATTAAGGACCAGGGAGACCCGTTAAGGACCAGGGAACAAAGACTGGGGGACCAGTTAAGGACCGGGGGACCCAGTTAAGGACCAGTTAAAGACTGGCAGACCAGCTAAGGACTGGAGGACAGGGACCGGGGGACCAGTTAGGGACTGGGGGACCAGTTAGGGACTGGGGGACAAGGAGTGGGAGACCAGTTAAGGACTGGAGGGACCAGTTAAGGACCAGGAACAAAGACTGGAGGACCAGTTAGGGGCTGGGGGACCAGCTAAGGACTGGGAACAAGGACTGGGGGACCCGTTAGGGACTGAGGGACCAGTTATGGACTGGGAGACAAGGACTGGGAAACCAGTTAAGGACCGGGAACAAAGACTGGGGAACCAGTTAAGGCTGGGGAACCCAGTTAAGGACCGGGGGACCCAGTTAAGGACTGGAGAACAAAGACTGGGAGACCAATTAAAGGCTGGCAGACCAGCTAAGCACTGGGGGACATAGACTGCAGGACCAATTAAGGACTGGGGGGCCGGTTAAACTGGGGGAACAAGGACTGGGGGATCAGAGACCACTTAGGGGCTGGGGGGCCCAATTAAGGACTGGGGAACAAGGACCGGGGGACCAGTTAAGGACTGGGGGACCATTTAAAGAGTGGCAGACCAGCTAAGGACTGAGGACCAGCTACTGGGGGACTGGTTAAGGACTGGGGGACAGGGACTGGGGAACCAGTTAGGGACTGGGGAGCAGCTCACGTCCAGCTGGAGCTCCACGCAGTTGATCTCCTCGTTGGCCTGGTTGAGATGCTCCAGCTCCTCCTGGGGAAGGGAGAAGCCAAACGCAGGGTGAGGGAAGAGAAACGCAACCCCCAAATCCGCTGTGCCCCCCCCAAAAAAATGGGGGAAACTGGGAAAAACACCCTTCCCGCACCCACCCCACACCTGTATCCTGGGGTCCAGCTCTTCCTCCTCCTCCTCCTCTTC